AAGGTCACCCCAAGCCCAGCATTACATCAGAGCCTCACAGAGACCAGAAGCTGCCCCAGCTGCAGAGCAGAAAACCGGCAGCTTTGGCAGCAGGGCAAGGGGCAGGGGGTTCTGTGGGGCAGTCTGGCTCCCAGCCATGTGAACTTCTCCGCCCCACGCTCAGCACAGTGAGTGAGGAGTGAGTGAGTGAATGACGTCAGCTGTCACTGTTACTGTGACGATTATGACGGATTCCACCAAGTGCCAGACCTGGTGTGGGGACTGGGTTCTCGTGACCCCCGTCCTCAGGTGCTCACAGGCGAAGGGGCGGGACAGACAGCTTGGTGCGTCCTATCATGGGAAAAGCAGAGGGGCCTGGTGGAGCCCAGAGAGGGTCCCACATAGCCCTGACTTGCTGGGGGCAAGTTAGCAAAGCAGATTTTCAACAAAAAAAAATTGAAATTTGTCATGTAGCTGTTACTGTTTCCACTTTTCAGATGCAGAAAGTGAGACTTAGAAAGGTTAGGTGACTGACCGGGGACACACAGCAGTTACTGGAGGGAGCTGGAATTCTCACCCTGGGCTGCCTGCTCCAGAGCCTGAGCTGCACACCGGGCTTGGGGTCCCTGGGGAATGTCAGTGAATGCCAGCAAAGACTTAATCATAAAGGCCCCCAAATAAAGGGTCAAGGTGCCTGGTTCTTCCGGCGGGCCTGGGCAGATGGAGAGGCAGGTAGAACTGGTCGGGTCTGGACAGACCACCATGGAAGAGCAAGGGTTTTCCAGAAAAGGTGACCTCGGTAAAGTGGGGGGACCCTACGCAGCCTCAGACACCTCACTGCCCTAGGCAGGCATGGTGAGGGGCTGGGGAGATTTGGGACCCAGGCCTCAGGGTAGGCCCGTGGAGCAAGAAGCTTGGTGTTCTGGGAAGACTCCAAGCTCCACCTTCCACCTGTAATCCTCCACCTGTCATCTTCCACACAGGTTCCCAGGGCCCCGAGAGCCCTGGAGAGCAGTGGAGGGGCCTGAAATGGGCAGATGCGGGCAGGGAATTTGGGGCCCAGGGAAGGGGAGTTGGTTCTATTTCCCAGGGAAGAGGGAGGGCTGGGTGGGGCCGGTCCAAAGGCTGAGGTCTAGGGGCCAGTTCCTCTTTCCCACAACAGGCACCAGCGTCATCCCGCATGCTCCTGCACCAGGGAAGCCCAGGTTAAGGGCTGCAGGAGGAAGAGCGATTTCAGGAGCCAAATGAAGTTCATTCTCTTTAGCCTCAACTCCGCTGGACCTTAGAAGACAACGGCGGGGGGGGCGTTGAAAATAACAAGCGTTGGAGAGGATGTGGAGCCACTGGGCCCCTTGGCTGCTGGTGGGATTACAGCCACGACGGAAAACAGCATGGTGCTTCCTTTACATGAGAAGAAAATATCATATGACCCAGCAATCCCTCTACTCAGAATATTCCCCAAAGATAAATAATGAACCACAGCGGATAGAAGGCACAGCCTTGTTCATCGCAGTGGTATTGACAACAACAAATGTCTGTCTGAGGAGGAATGGAGAAATCAACCCTGGTCCCATATACATGCTGGAATGGCACCCATCTTTAAAAGACAAGATGATACAAGGTCAAACACCTGATGACACAGGCAAGTGTGGGAATGGCTCCTAAGCTCAGCAAAGCTGCTCAATGTCATCAACGCCAGTGCTGAATGAGACTACCACTAGAAAAGAAAAGGGGAAAAAAGGTTTTCACACCAAAAGACACAGACTTTGAAGGCTCCAGTGAGACTCTAGTGAAGGGGACATGGGGGAGGGCAACCTGTTGTCATCTCCACAGATGATCACGAAAAAAGGATTATTTTTAAAGAAGAGAGAGCCCATTCAACCACATCTCCAACTTCAACAGCAAATTCAACACCGACTCCGACTCTCAAAGAACCCTAACTTAACCTCAAACCAACTCTGACCCTCACACAGCCCAATCCCAACAGTGCCCCACTCCAGTCCTAGCCTTGGCCCCACTCTCCACCTCCGCTCCAGAGGCTAGTCATTGTTGCGAGGTGCCCTTGGCCGGCCCTTCCGACGCACAGCCGCCCTATCTGCGGTGGAGCGGAGCTGTGCCGTCCTCACCATTGTTTTGCAGTTGGAGCCCAGCGCTGCAGCCACTGTGTCCACCCACCTGGTCAAGGGCCCTCCTTCTTTACACTGCCCCTCCACTTGACTAGGCATGAGGTCCTTCCGTCAACCCAGATCCCAACTTGACCCTAACTTCAACCACCATGCCTAACACCGGCCTCAATGTCCCCCTCACTTCATCTCGATCCCACTCGGTAGCCTCGTGCCGATCTTCACCCAATTCACATCCTAACCCCAGGTCACTCCACCCAAACCGCTAATCCAATTCCAATGTCAACTTCAGTTACAACTGACCTGCGCTGGAAGTCCACCCTAATCACAATTCACCTTCACCTTCAATTCAAACTCCCTTCGTAAATTCCAAACCCATCCCTTCCCTGTCCCCAAGAACCACCCTGTGGGTTGATGGACTGTACCGCTGACACCAAAGCCTACACATGCGTGCGTACACACATACACACACACACACACACACCCAGGAAGAGGAAGGAGGTTCAGCCCAGCTCTGAGAATAGGCCTGGGCCAGGGGTGGGGGGAGAGATCAAGTATTTCCTAAACCCTCCCCCCCGCCCCCTCCCCCCTGAACCCTTGATAATTTATAAATTATTTTTGTTTTGTCATAAGTTACACTGTCCGCCCCCTCCCCCCCAAGGCCAGACACCTTTGGATTGCCTGCCTGATCAAGCTCTGCTCTCTCCATCCCTCCTTCAATATTGACTTCCACACCCAGGGCGCTCTGCCCTCCTGCCCTTCTGCCCTCCCAGGAAGTGTCCTGGTGACCGCCCAGGAGCTGGGATGCCAGGCTAATTCCAAAAGGATTGCTATGAAATCATAGAAACTTTGCTTCAGAAGAAGTATCAAAATGCAAAGCTATTGTTTCTCGGTATAGTCTCCAGTTAGAGCGAGACTCTCCTGAAAGCAGTTTCCTCTTGCTAAACCTTCCCTGAAAGATTCTGTACGCTTCTGTTGACTCTCCGTCCAAACGGCAGTGGGGGCCTCCTGAAGGGGCCTTTTGACACAATTTTCATTTGGGGCACCCAAAGGAGCCCAAAGGAGCAAGATGAGGGTTGTAGGGGAGAGGGGCCAAGTTTTCCCCAGGACGACCCCTGCCACTCTGGAGGAATGAGCAGGCGCATTGTCACGATGCAGGACAAAGGTTCCCCAGTACGACTTTCCTTTCCTGAGTGGACTCTCTGCCTTGCCTTCAACAGACCCCTGAGAAGCCACTGCTGTGATTGGACTCTCTTTTGAAGGCATCCCAATGAGACCCGTGCTTGTCTGCTACCGTCCACCAATCGCAGACATATGCTTACACATGTTTTGTTTGGAATAAACCCGTGCATGTATGAACTGGTCGCAATAATTTTGGATTTTCCCTGGTAGATTAGACAGTTGAGGGGTCTTGAAGGTGGTCCTTCCTGTGTGTACAGGGGACCCCCACTCATAACGGCAATGGTGGACACATGGTGTTGGAAGCACAGTCTTAATGGGCCTCAAGGTCTAGTGGGGCGCAGACACACAGTTGAGTCAGCCTACCCCAACTGGAGCATGGTAGGGGGGCGGTGCCCTGGTTTCTATAAGAACTGAGAGAGCTTATTAATCGGCAGGTGTGGAGGGGATTTTTTGAACTGGGTTGAGTAGGAGTTTACCTAATGGCAGAAAGGAAAGGCATTCTGGGCCTTTGAAGAACACGCCTAAAGGCCAGAGCGCATGTTCAGGGAAGGAAGTGGGCCTGACAGAAAAGAACCAGTCAGGGCTAACTAGGAGAGGCCCAGAAGAATGGGCACGGCCTGTTGGCAGGACCAGCAAGACTACGGAGGTTAGGAGTGAGAGGGACCAGGAGGTCAGGAGAGGTCAGGGAGGAGCTCATTCCAGGACAATCAGAGAGTGGAGGGCAGGCAGCACAGCGAGGTCAGCACAGGGCGAGGGCAGACTTGACTCAGATGACAACAGGGACCAGTGGGGGCCCGGAACTGATGTAAGGATGAAGATAGGAATAGCCAAGGGACTTCTGCTCATACTTCCTGTGGGCCTTGTGCTGAATTATTCCGTTTATAACGTCACTGAATTCTCAAGCAGCCCCATGTGGTAATAGTGTGAGTCCCCAGAGGGGACATGGAGACTCAGAGATGGGAAAGGAAATGTGACCCATCTTCACACACATCACAGTTGGGTAGCAGAGGAGAGCAGAAGCCAGGCAGGAGCTGAGAGGCCTTCCTCAGAAGGCCGGAGCACCAAACCCTGTCCTGATCTGTAGGCTGGCCAGTCACACGCCAGCCCTTCCTTCCTAAGGGATGGAGGCTCTCTGACTCATGCTGCCGGACATGCCACGCTGGCCCATGCGTAGTGCCCTCTGCAAGAAATGGTCGTGTAACCATTGGCCCTTCTCCAGACTTCAGCTGGGGGATCACCCCCTCTAGGCTAATGTGGGGACCTCCTCTGCCCTGGGCCTGGTGAGTGGCCACTCCATCCTCAGGCTGGCCTGTCCCTCCCTGGCCTATGGTGAGTGGCCATTCCATGCTCCCCAAGCCCCAGTGCTGCTCTCTTGCCCAGTCGCCTAACCCACCCACCCCATCGCCTGGGGCCCCAGCCCCTCACAAGGCCTGGCCCAGAAGTGAACATGTGTGGTTGGACACAGGCAGGTGCAGGCCAGCTGTGGGTCAAAGTGGGTTCCCAGGGGGTGGTGGGGCTCGGCTAAGCTTCAGAAATGGTCTCTTATCTCCCAGGGCTGTCTTGATACTTATCTGATGAGGTAGAAATTGACTAAAGACTGATAAAACTGAGATGGAGGCTCCTAGTTACTGAGTAACCCTGGCCTCTTTAAAGGTCCCACTGTTTCACACCCTGCCATCCGGAACCCCACACTTCTGCCTCTTGGGTGCAGCTGCCATGAACGCCTGCCTGCTGTTGGCGCTGTGTCTCCTCGGGGCCTGTGCTTCCCTAACAAGTGGAGTCATTGTGCAGGTACGGACAACCCCTGTCGTCACCCTGGCCCGGTGTATTTCTGTCTCTGGAGGACAGGGCTCATTTCCTGAAAGAGGACCCCACACAGGGGCCTGAGTGGGTGGGTGTGTGGGGGCCTGGCTCTTCCTCAGGGACCCTCTCCCGTCTTTCTGCAACACCTCCTTTTCCAAACGTGGAGGAGGAAGAGGAGGAAGGATGCCAGGAAGAGAGAAGAGAACTAATTGTTGGGAGAGGTGGGAGGCCCATTTTTGGAGTATTTGCAGGTGCTAGATACTGCCCCCCCCCCCCCCAACGACCCTCCTGGGGCCTGGGAGGGAGGGATTATAAACACGGAGAGAAGCTGAGCTTCAGGGAAGTTCTGTAGCTGCCCTTGGCCATGTGGCTGGGGACCGGAGCAGCTGGATTCCAGTTCAGATTTTACTCCTGTCTTATGCAGAGCCAGAGCAGCCACTTGGGAGCCTAGTGGCCACTCTGGAGGTTCTGACAGATGAGTGTGTCCACCAGGCTGATGCCAGGGCCAGGCCAGTCTGGGACCCGCTGGTGACAGGTTCTCCATCCGAGCCACGCCCCTGAGCATTTATTGCTTCCCAGCAGTCAGTCACAGGCCGGTGCTGGGGCCCCCTCCCGGGAGATCTTCAGAGGAGGAGCAAGGCGCACACCCTGGTCCTGGCTGGCCACGAGGAACCAGGGCCCCCAGAGCCAGCCCTGCCTCTCTCCCTGGCCATCAGCACAATGGCTGCCCATCGGGCACCTGCTGGGTCCCAGACACTTTACACCCGTTTTCTTCCATCCCTCACGGAGCGTGCAGACCCCCGGCTCGGGCGTGCCACGGCCTACTCAAAGTCTTTGGGGCAGAAGTGGGTTCAGACCCAGGCGCTGGCTCTAAGGCGTGAACCCTGACCGCCACGGACTGCCCAGAAGGAGGGTCTTGTGCCCAAACACTGTTGGAGAGCCACTCAGCCGGGAGGGACAGGGCGGCGGGACCAAGGGTGCTGACAGCCTCGGCCCTGCTCCTTTCAGGATGGAGAGTTCTCCTTTTCGCTGGAGTCCGTGAAGAAGCTCAAGGGCCTTCAAGGGTTCCAGCAGTCTGGGGGTGGACACCACCGTAAGGCCATCATGCTGGCTGAAGGCATGGCCGAGCCGGGGGTCCCCGTCTTGTGTAGCCACCCCGGCTTCCCCAAAGAGCTCAGGCCTCTCTGCAAGGAACCCAACGCCCATGAGATTCTGCAGCGGCTGGGTGAGCGCCTCCGGGCAGCCGGGGTGGGGCGGGTGCTAGGAGGGCTTGTCTGATTGGTGGCACTTGAGAGGGCGACGTGCTCTGATTAGCGCTTGGAAGAGGAGCTCTGATCTCGGATTGGTGAGGTCGGGGAACTCTGCTCCAATCGGTGGACCCTTAGCACGCGGCTTTCATTCCGTCTCGGCTGCAGTTGGTGGCTCTCAGAAAGGTCTTCGCTCTGATGGAGGGGCGTTTCCGATCTGCTTAGAATCTCAGTTCCGACTGGTCCACGCCCCTCCTGTTTCAGGGGACTCGGGGTCTCTCTCCTAGGGCTGGCAAGAGGAAAGGGCGTGGGGGGAGGGGCGCTGACTCTCATGAGCCCCCATTTCTCTCATCCAGAGGCCATCGCCGAAGACCCGAGCACGTGTGAGCTCTGTGCCTACGCGGCCTGCGCTGGGTGCTAGGGCTGCCTTCTTCCCTTCCCCGCTGGAAGGAGAGCGCCTTCTCCTGCCCAAAGTCACCCCCAAGAGACCCCATCCCCAGCCGCTCAGCCGACCCTGCTCCAGGATGGAAAGGGGGAGGAGAGACGTGGCTGGGCGTCAGACGCTCAGCCCCTACCACCACCTGGGCCGCCTGGCGCTTTCAGGATCCAACCCAAGCCACAGCTAATAAACCAGATTCCAGAATGCTCCTGGTGTCGCCTGCATTCCTTTGTTAGACCACTCATCCATCCAGTTTGTTGATACCTGCGCTGCTACCCTGACCTCCGAGGCTCAGGATTTAGTGCTCAGAGAGGGAGGGCCCTACTCTCCCTGCTGAGCCTCTCGCTGACCCCAGACACAGGCACTGAGGGGGAACCCCTGCTCTTCTTTCCCTTCATGGGGGTCACTAAGGCCGAGCCATGGTTTGCATGGTCAGCAGAGGCTCTTGGCCCTCTAGGAGATCATCCTTATGCCCTTGGGCATGGTATTCAAGGTCCCTCAGAACCTGGCTCCCACTCCCACTCCAGCATGGCCTCCTGCCATCACCCACTGCCCCATCCACACTTCTCACTGTCTCCTCTGCTCCTGGGCACCTCTGCAGCCGACCTCTTCCCACATCTCAAACCAGCTACAGCCCTGCACAGGCTTGAAGGCTCCCATCCTGTGTCTGTCCTTGTGTCCAGGAGCCCTGGATGTCCTGGAAGAGGCTTTGTGCTCCCCGGGCGCTTTGGAGGTCCTAGTGGCCTTGCTCAGCTTTGGCCATCCTGGACTATCAGGGCTTCCCTATCTCGGGGGCTCACTCTGACTCCTGGGCCAGATGAAGTCTACCCACATGGTTGGTAGCAGGGGCTACACAGTCCCAGCCCTGGGTTCGAACCACAGTCTTTCAGGATTGTGTGAGGTTAGGCATGCCACATTCTCTCTCTGTCCTCGGTCTCTTCACAAAACAAGGGTAATAGTAAGATGTACTAGGCCACCTGAATGAAACAACACATGTCAACCCCTCCATTCAGGCCTGTCGAAAACCTGGGAGGAACTCAACCAGTGGTGTTTGGGCTTGGGAGAGTGGTATGAGCCTGGGGACCAGGGGCATGCTTGGAGGAAGCCAGGAGTGGCTGCATTCAAACAGCTCATTGTCCTTCTAGCCACGGTCCTTGGGAAGCAGAAGAAAGTGGCCAGTGAACCTGAACCTGAGCTGTGGGATACTAGCCCCCACAATCAAAAGGGGTGGTTGTGTAATTGAGTAAAATTCAAGAGATATCAGACGAGATAAAACATGCAAGTGCTCACCTCTGGGACCGCCATGACTTCAGGAGTCAGGTCCGCTCAGAGAATGACTATGTTTCCAACCAGGGCTTATATGCACTCGGTGTGGGGGGGGGGCATGCAACCCCCCACCCCCACCCCAATTACAGGTAACCACAGAGGTAACAAAGTGGACTGTACCCTAACCCTAAAGGTCCCTGAGTTCATTGGAGGAGTAACCTAACACCAGTGCTGGGAGTGTGTGTGGGGTGGGGGGTGGGGGGGTGGGGTGGGGGACATGGGCAGGTAAGAGGAAGTGGCTGTCTGCAGAGACTAGAGAGCAAAACACCCATCTCTATAGTTAAAGCTGCTGGCTAGATAGCAGTCAGCCATGTGCTTGCAAGAGGTAACCTTAAAGTAGTTCCATTATGGGAGGATATTGTGGGTAACAATATTAATTATGAGAATGTACTTGGGACTCCCTCCATCCCAGAAACCCAGCCTGCCAGGCTTCTTCATATGTGAGAATAAAGGATTCATCCGTACACACTCTTCCCGTCCTCTGCTTCCCACAGTGAGCCCCCTGTGGTTCCAGGGAGCTCCTCTCCAGGCAACCAGGGAGGGACTGCTTAGGAGAGGGGGGCAGGGGGAAGACCGACAGGCTCTAGACTAGCCTGGAACTTCAGAAGCTGAAGGAGGTGCTTGCGCTCAGGTAAGATGCCAGGTCTTCTAGTAAGCGGTGAAGTGGCAAGACCTGGGCCGGAGTCATCCCTGCCTGTTGCGCGATGGAAAGAAGACCCACCTGCAGGCTTGTTCGGCAGAGAGAGTACACACAGCGGGTGCTCCGCTACCCCCCCTCCCCCAAGCCACCCCAGCACTCAGATGGCAGCTTAGAGGTCATCTCCTCTGGGAAGTGGTTCCAGAGCCCATGGATCGGGGCTGGGCACCAGCTGGCCCTCCAGTCACTCAGCTTCTTCATCTGTTCCAGCTGCACCTGGATGCCAAGGTCCCGGGTGGGAGGAGGGATGGGGAGAGAAGGGAGCAAGGCCACAGCTGGGTCCAGGGTAGGCACTACCACACAATCCAGGATTTCTGGGGTGCCTATGTCCTCTGCACCCTTCTCTGTTCTTCTGGCAAGGCCAGGCCACATGGAAAGGCCAGCCTGGGGTGTCTCATCTCCTCCCAGGCATGTGCCACACCCCATGTGCCACAGATCCTTGATCATAGCGAGATGAAGCAAGCTCAGAGCTTGGGGTTCAGTGGTTTTATGCATGGGCTTTAGAGACAGGTAGACCCTGGTTAAAATACTAGGGCTAGTCTCAGGGGCTGCCTGTGTCTTCTCCACTCTGAACTTCATTGTCCTTTATGAATGGAGATCATCAGGCTTCATTGTGCCTGGGCATTGTGAAGGTCAAGCAAGTCCCCACACAGTACCTGGCACTCAGAGTGCTCTCCTTGAGCTCACAGGGCAAGGGGATGGATGGCCCCTCAAGGTGACTGAGCCCCAAGCCCAGGTCAGGGGGTGGTTGACGCTCATGCACCCCTCTTCTCTGCTTCCCTATGAGGCACTGCCCAGATTGGGGGATGTGGCTCCCAGGCTTGTGTGGGAACCCTGCCTAGGGCCACACTCATTCCTTGCTAACCTCAAAGTGCCAAACAGTCAGGCGCTGCTTCCTCAGATCTGTGAAGCCTCCCAGTAGCCTGGAAGTGACCGGCTCCCTGCTGCCTTCGCTCCAGGACATTGTGTGTTCTGTGCCCTCTGCCTGGGACTGCTTTCCTCCCGTTCTTCCTTATCGTGCCTGCGGAAGGGGTGCCTCCCGGAAGACAGTTTCTGCTGTCTGTGTCCCTCCAACCAAGCAGGGCTGCGTGCACACGGAGAGCTGGGAAGCAGTCAAGTGGGTCTGAAACCCAGCCATTTGGGCTCTAGCTATTTGATTGATCTTACAGTGTCAAAATTCTTTGAACCTAACCGACTGTCTTGTGGTCTTATCTATGTGCCTTGCCATTAAACTAAATGAGTTTGTGGATGATAACCTTGAACATTTCTTTAATTCTGAAATAAAATCCCACAGGACATTATCCAATTTAACCTCAATATGCACCTTAATCCAAATTTTACCCTCATCCCAACTCAACCACGGCCAAAGCTCAAATCCAATCCCAGCACCAAACTGAACTGTACTTGATCCTTGCTGGAGGCTCATCTCTAACCCAGTAGTGATCAGTTCTACTTTTCATGGTATCTCTGGCCTCACCTACAACCCAAGCCCCATCCACAGCCCTACTCTTATCCTAACGCGTCCCTGTCCTCCCCTAACCATGTGAGCCCCGGTCTTTCCTTGACCTCCCCATGGTTCTCGCTAGCACCCTGCACTCTGCCATTAGAGGTCAGCTTGTGCTGGGTGAACAGTGTAAACACACACACACACCCCTACCTCAGGAAGAAGTGGGGGCAGTCTCCCCTTGAGGACAAGTCTGGGTGGACAGATGTGGCAGTTACATAATCTCCTGTCAATGTGAGTGAAGGGGTGAGGTCTAGCCTATCATTCAGGTCATAGCCAATCATGCTTCTGTGTGGGCATGGTCTTCTCCTGAGAATTCTGGGAACTTCGTCTTCCTCCCTGCAGGCAGGACACATACTCTGCTTCACATTCCTGTTGACAAGCCACATGGAGCTACACCGATGGAGCCAGAGCTCTGGAACTGGAGGAGCCACGTGGAGACTCATGCCAATGTTAAGATGCTTCCACCGCCACTGGATCCACAAGACCTTCTACCCACTGGCCTGTGATCTTCCTACATTAGACATCATTGAATGTGCTGTGTGAGTCTAAAGAGGAATTAATGAACTAGTATCGGACATATGGGCTAATATTGGACTTACAGACTTGACCTGGACTGGGCTGGGATGTTTTCTCAATATACAATTGCTCTCTTATATAAAGCTCTCTCTTATACACATATGTCTCTGGATTTGTTTCTCTAGTCAACCCAGGCTAACACAACAGATAAATCAAGTGGTTCTTGCTCCTTTTATGGGGCGAGTAATTCTCTCATCTGGCGCTAAGTGTGGTGGATGAATGAAAGCAGGACCCAGCCTAGCTGTGGGTCAACTGGGTGCCCTGGGAGAGGCCAGAGCCCTAGCCAGCTTCAAGGACGGAGAGCCTGTCTCCCAGGGCTTTTTGGAGCCTTGCTGATGATCGAGCCTTCTTGCATTGACAGGAGAGCACGTGAGGTGATGACTAATGGTTCCAGGTTACTCTGAACCTTGCCCTTTGGGCATTCCTACTGGTCTCCCCTGGTATCAGAAACCATCTCTCCTCTCTCTTGGGCACTGGTACCATAAACACTTTCCTTCTTTCCTATTCAGGGCCTAGGATTCCCTGGCAGGTGGGGTCACTATGCAGGTGTATCCCCTGGGGTCACACTGGCCCAGTGGTGCTCTGCCTCCAGATCCTAAGTCCTGCCCCTGATAGGGGATCCTTGTTTGTGGCCAGTAAGGAAGGATATGGCTCTTTTCCAGGGACCCTCTTGTCAGTCCTGCCTCACATACCTTTCTCTTCAACTATGGCAGGTATTGAGAAACCACCATTATGGAGAGGTGAGAATCAGTCCACCTACTAAGTGCTTGTGTGCTAGGCTCCTGCATTACGACCTCACCACAACCTTGGCTGGAGGGTATTATTAGACTCGGTGTACAGAGGAGGAAAACTGATCTCAGAATCTGGCCAAGACCC